ATATATATATATATATATATATATATATATACATTTACATGTGAATAGAGGAGATAAAAAACTGGCGGCTCAATGTCCAAAGCCCGCTTGGAGACTGTAGGCTACGTCAAGTACTGCGTTCTGCCTCGAAATTTGCAGTTGGCTGCATCAAATTTTGCCCAAAGCCGAGATATCACCGTCTAATTACACGCCTTGTTTGATTCCCCGAGAAAGAACACAACAAGAAGGGTGCAAAGGTAGAAGTCTTTTAGCGTACCTAGTACAGCGTACTCACGGCAAGCAAAGCGTACAAAATTGAACCAATCAGATTGTGCTCTCGGGCGAGCGTCAACTTAATGTGCTTGTGACTCATCTTGCTGGCTTGTTAAGGTCGTGTGACTGGCCGCAGCTTTGCGCACCACGACCACGTGCGCGGTGTGTAGGCGGATCCAGATCGGGGTGTGAGCGCGACTCACTATGGCTGCCTGCTCGCGTGTCTGTTAGGTCGGCTCCTAACATAGGCAGGTGTTGACAGGAGAAAGAAGTCGTAAAACCAATCTTACACTAGCCTTTAATGAGGTTAGGACTTGAGTTCACCACCACCCCCGAAGCCCGCAATATACAGAAAGCCTTACCTCGGAAAGGATAGCTCTGTTCTCTTCCGAAGTAGGGACCGAACTGTTGTTTCTCCAACTATCGTCTTTATGCCAGCTTTCAGTCATATAAGGTTGACTAATACTCCTCTTCATGCGCGTATTAAGATGAAAGTATGTTTGAATTCCCCTAGAGGTGGGTTCAGCCACGCCAAACCCTGTGCTCACTCCCATTTGATGTATGACCTTCATTTCATTTGAAAATGATTGCTATGAGAATACGTTTAGAGACAGGTTATGTGCAGATATCGCTCATTATTAACTTACCAGCGTAATCAATCCCTCTGCTCTTGGGAAATTGCTAATCTAAGTGGCTTGCGACGAATGAATAAACTATCTGACGCAAACTGGATGGAAACTTACTTCACAGATACCGTTCATATGCACAAGGAAGTAGTAGTTACCTACGCGTTGGCCAAACCTATAGATAAAACTTGTACATATGTATATGTTTCCCGCTATTTTATAGTATCATTTTATGTTGGATATATTATGCATACAAGAAACCACTGAATGCTCTCACGGACACACTGACCATACCTGCAGCTAAAATTTGTACATGTATCTATGTTACTCACTATTTTATAGTAACATATTTTATGTTGGATATTTTATGTAAACTGTTTTCAATAGGGTCTTCAAAGGCATTGCCTACTACCCTAAATATACTGAACTATGGTATCGGCATTTTCGTCTGCAGTACCGTTTTTGCTTAAGAGAAATCAAAATTAACATCCTATTTGATGCGTTACACACGCAAGGGCATCTTAAATCGTTGTCTAAGCTGCAACCATCGTTTCCCCCTCTATCTATATATACAGCCAACCATGCTGAAATTGCGGCTGCCTACAGAGCAACCTGCACCTCAGATGTCCTTCAGAATGTCAAGGAACTCTCCAGCATTGCTGAGTACTGCAACGCGAGAAAACAGGACGCCCGTCGGGCGGGCGAAGAAAGCGCAGAACTCTTCTTTACTCTGCTAGTAAAGGTTAGTCCTGCTTTTTTACTCTCACGATCTTTTCTCTTAACATTTAGCTCTCAGGAGTGTACTTTGGTAAGAGGTAGCTTATAAGTATCACCATAGGATCACATAAAACTATAAACTGTAATAAGTAAACAATAGTAATGTAGAAAATACTTGTTTTGCATTTAGCGATAACAAATATAAATAACTATTTAGTCTACTGTGAATGACTCCTTACAATTGAAAGGTCGTATTGGCAAACAAATATTTTCGATCATTCATGTTCAGACCGGTACAATGACGTGGAGAATAAAACGTGTTTTCATCAATAACTATTCAGTAAGTTGAGAACAAGGTACGTTCGCTGGGCCAACACTTTTATTCGCCTGACGTTTCGACGTCCCTCGCGGATTTTTCCTCAGCGACAACAGCGGAAGCGGGTGATGTGTCTCATGAAGAATCCTCGACGGATGTCGAAACGCCAGTCGAGTAGTAGTGTTGTCCCAGCGATCGAATCTTGTTCTTCACAATTTCTTCCTGGGACTCCTATGTTCGCCTGTATTGACAATTTGTTTGGGCGCGATACGCTCCGATTGGCCCGACGATGGGAAACGTTTACTCTTCGTGAGGCCTATTCGCAGATCGGGTTTCTGCTCAGCTTTCTTGACACTAACGTGCTATCGAGGTGTGTTACATATTCAGTAAGTTACTTACCTATTACTGAAAGAAATGTGGGCAATTTCGAAGTCCTTTACAGGTTTTAGTAGCTTTTAATTCTTTGAATTTAAATGTAAGCCTCATTAGCCTCTGTCTCCATCCCCTTTTTTTCAGGAATGTGGCCCGATTCAAGAAGCTTGCTCTGTTGTTGGTGTCCTCACCCATTCTTTTGATGTGCTCTTACTTTCCTCTGGGCTTGTGAAACGCATTTACCTCAACGTAAGTCCAGTTGATGACGATACCCTTCCTACTATGTTTGCTCAGGACCTCAAACATGTATTTACTCAAAATAACATAAACCCAGATTTCACCCTCCCTACTGAGAACAAAAAGGGTAGGCGCCCCAACGTTGATTTAAAGTCAGCGTCATCTCGGACTAATTCTAGCGTCAGAAATATTACCAGTAGTACTAAGAATCAGCTACATCGCTAGTCAGTAGTAGTAGAAATAGTGGTAGCCGTAATAGTCTCGGCGTCCTTGAGTCTTCCTGGACACCTGCAGGAGGATGAGTGAAGGAAGATGGTGCAGTAGTATCAGCGCAAAAGGCTACTGCCACTTAAGACTAAGTTAGGCGGTGTTTCTGGTTTGCACTGGAGAAAGCGGCCAACGCCGGACCCAATCTGGTTTCAAAAACACACTATGCTTGCGAGGCCGGTAACTGACTGCTTTTGTGGTTGCGAAACACGCGCGTTCTCCAGCCTCCCCCTTCATTCGACTGGATATGCACCAAATAGATAATTTCACAGCCAATACGTAACGAAACCGACACTACATTAAATTATGCTACTCTTGATTAGCGAGTAATCGTGTATTAATGCTATTTATACTACCCAACCACTGGTGTATCTTCCGCCACGCCTGTAATTGACGTAGTTTTTTTTTCAAGTTTTCTTTGTATCCATATATTTCCTATCATCTTGTTACCAAAAGGGAGTTCAAAGGCATTCGCCTATCTTTCCCTCAATAAACTGATACTGATATTATCACCCCGCTCTAGAAATTGGACCTCAAGTCTTTCGAGTACGAGGCGGCGGACGTAGAACTGAAAAACATCTCTGGCACCGGTACACTGCACATGATATGGAACATTCGCAGCTGCAAAGAGGAGCAAGAAGAGGACGCGAAGGGA